CCATCCGTTCGGGAGTTATTGAGGAAAAACGAAAAGTCTTTTTAAAAGTTCGCTATTTCGACGGGCGAATTCGCCTTCAGATTCTGCAATTCGCCCGTCGAATCTGTGAACTTTTAAAAAGACTTTTCGTTTTTCCTCAATAACTCCCGAACGGATGGGCGTAGGGGGGCGTATTTAGGCTCATTTTGTAGGGGACGACGAGATCTACAATTTCTGTGCAAAAAGAATTCGCTAGTGCCAATAGTTAACGAGTTATTTGCAAAAAAAGAAAAACAGGTTTTTGCAAATTACTCGTGAACTATTGATGCTAGCGAGAAACTGTTACACAGGGATTGTAGATCTCGTCGTCCTCTACAGAGTGGTTTTATATACGTCCCCCTAAGTCCATCCGTATCGAAGTTATTGGCAAAAAACAGAAAAACAGTTTTTTGCAAATAACTCGTTGACTATTGGCACTAGCGAATTCTTTTTGCACAGAAATTGTAGATCTCGTCGTCCCCTACAAAATGAGCCTAAATACGCCCTCCTACGCCCATCCGTTCGGGAGTTATTGGCAAAAAACGAAATCTTTTTCCAAAAGTTGGCTATTTCGACGCTGGAATGGTCGGATTTTGTCAACATCAATAAAATGCCATATAATCGTATGTAACTCATTAAATATCGAAATTAGAAGAAAAGTACACTACTTTTAATTAAAAGTTTTACGACGTGTAACGGGAGTCTTCGTTTTGAAGAAAGTAGAAAATAACATAATAGAATTAGAATAGTGTACGATATGCAGTGGTAGCGAACGATATTTTATGGGACATAAAAAACAACTTTCATTACTGACTGTGTACGTCAAACGGAAAGAAGAATTACGTACTGATAACAGCCGACTTGTTAACTATTATTATACATATGTCGTTGTTATGCACAGACCTTGCAGATACGTGGAATGCATTTATAAATATAGCATGGTAGGTAACAATTAACTAGATTGTGCCACTAAAATGACTGAATTTCGTAGATATCGAACTGAAGGTCTCGTTTATAATAATAAATAGTGAAAATTGTAAGCCGAGTCTATTTCTGTCCGACATAAACAATTTTCCAGATCTTAGAATTTCTGTTCACTGACTCTTACATAAAACGATAGAAAAAAAGAAGAGATCACAGTCTGACGTGAACAGATATTTACTATATGTTTTATAGACACAGGCGCATAATTTCGATGTCCATCAAGAGAATCGTCTCTTGTGCAGATGCCGATAAAAGTTCGGAGAGCAGCGAACGCGGTACGTGCCACGCGGCTTGACACCGATGGCCGCACAGTCACGTGGAGTCGATATAGGTACACGGGTTTCTACGTGGAGGAGCGTGTCGCGTACGCACACGCGACGGGAGTCACGCGAGTCAGACAAGGAGGGCGAACGCGTTTAGTAGAGGGCGGAAGGATGACCCAGGGAGACCGAGAGATCCAACGGAGGGGATACGAGCTGGACGAGGGAGGTGAATGAGGATGAACGGAGGAGGAGGGACACGGAGTGAAACGGGAGGAAAGGAGAGAAGATAAGAGACGTGACCAGCATCAGAGTGGGAGTCCCGAGGCGAAGATAATCACGGGAGGAGATGCTCTTGCGGGGGTGGGAGAGACCGGTATCAATTTCTAATTAATCGGTCTTTGGAAAATTCGATCGAACTTTGAACACGTTTGTACGAATTACCAGATTGATCAAATGAATATTTTATTATTGATTAAGCTAGTTTTCAGACAAATTCGATATTTCGCAAGAAACGCAGGGGAAAGTAAGCGCGTACGCGTGGAAGGCAGGCGAAGAAATGCGACACGCACGATTTTTGCACGTACGTTGAAAAGAAACAAATAAGCATTAAGGAAGAGAGACGCGAGCGAAACGAATTACAGAGACAGGGAGCGAACGCAGAGGGAAATGGATATAGGAGGCACGAGTGGAGAATTGCAGGGGCCAAACGGCCGTTCGTACAGGGAGAGTCGAATCGTGAAAGAAGGGAAAGGAGGAGGTGTGGTCGACCTTCGCGGGGACGCACGATTCTCCGTGGTCGTTGCACGTGAAGTTAATATCCGTTACACAACTCGTTTTAAGTTTTACGAAGAAAAAAAATTAGACATGCCCCTCCGATCGTTCCCGTGAAGAATTAAACATCAGACTGTCGTCGATTTAGTCAGTCTCACCATGAATTTACAGGTGAATTAGTCGAGAGACGTGGCAAAGCGAGAGACGATTAACGACTGTTAACGAAGTGATTAATTACGTCGAAAGAAACGAGCATTTACGAAAGCCAGAAGTGACTTTAATAGAAGTATCGTTAAATACCTGTATATGCCTAATTGCGGCGTGGAGGATCGAAAGATTCGACGATTTTTTCTCCTCTTGGGACGGCAGCTGCCTCTTCAGCAGCTCGAAGCATTCTTTCAAATGCGCTCTCCGATTTTTCTCCAATTTGTTGTGCACTTCCCTGGTGCCGGACCGGATCACGCACGGTCTAAAATTAGAGCAACGGACGTACAGGTAAACTGTTGTGCACGATGTTACAACTGCGTTCTGTGTCTCTCTTTCAAATTATGTCTATTTGATCGTTCGTAATTTTCCAACAATCTTTCCCAAGCGGTCTTAAATAAAAGCCGACGGCAAATTACACGACTCGAACGGACCTCTGATATGTTTACGTGTTTTCATAAACTAAATTATGTCCCTAAATAAATTCTAATGTCACAGTGTTTAACGTTCAAAAATATTGGCACTAGCAGTCTTGTTAAGCTTGTATGAAAATTGAATCAAGCTTCTTTCTA